ATATTGAATATTACATATTTCTTAGATTTTTCTAAATAATGCTTCATATATGTTTATCGAGTAATAGTTGATTTATTTTTAGTTATTTATTAGAAAGTTTAGAATATTTGATTTATTATATGTAAATAGAACAGTAAAAATATTAAAAGTTTAATCAAAACAAGGCAGAAGACTGTGGTTACACAATATCTTTTGTATCATATGTCAATTGTCTTTATTTTATAATATATTTTAACTATCTTTATTAACATCTATGTTTTTCATTTCACTTTATTATAAATATATACACACACATATATACATATACATACACACCTCAAAAGTCAAATTGAAACACAATGAAGGAAACACCATGAATAGCCACATGCACATTGCAGGACTGGTAGAGGTAAAAAGATATGCAAATGATTGAAAGAACAAACAAAGATATGTAACAGACACCTGTTTATTCAGTAATGAATATGGCCCCCTAAGGGCAACTATATAGCCTGCTATACAACAAGGCATACTATCAATGAGGTGATTAATGGTGGCCTGAGGTATCCTTCCAAGTTGTGTCCACTGCAGTATGCATGTCATCTGTGGCAAGTGATGGTGGTCCCTGGTGCACCTCACTTTGGATGAGGTCCTGCAGATGTTTGATGGGAGAGAGATCCGACAAGGCTGTTGGTTGGGGAAGGATGTGAATTCTATTCAGGCTGGTGAAAGTTTACCATGCAATGTGCAGTTGGGCATTATCTTACTGGAACACTGTTGGGTGCAGCCTGCACCAGTGACCAAACTATAGGCTCCACAATTTGTGCAACATATTGCTCTATTGTCAGATTACCAAAAATGTGCACCAGGACTGTCCACTGATTGAACATAATTCCTCCACAAATCATGATTTCCAGTATGGGGCCAATGTGATGCTTGGCAAAAAGGGCTGGCACTTAGCATTCTCCAAGATAATGTCACAGCCATCAGGATTCATCTGCAGACAGAGGCAGGATTCATCCATAAATAATACTCAATGTCATTCAATGATCTAATTGCAATGATGACAACACCATGCCAGGCATGTAACCCTGTGTGAAGTAGTTAATAGCACCTCTGTTGCTGGTTACTGTGAATGCAGTTCAACTTTATGCAACCTGCTGTGTTTGGTTTGAGTGGACACATATGCACCCGTTGACAGAGACAAGTGGCTTCAGATGTCACGTGCTGTCACAGGGCCCAATGGGCTGTTTGGCAAATCTGCCTGTCTTTGCACTCTGTTGTGTACCATTACGATCCATTCCCTCTTCAGTATGTTTGCAGATGTTCCTGCATCCATCGTGTCATACATTGCTGGATGGTACTCACGTCATATCCAACATGTGTGACAACTGTATGCAACTACAAACTGAGATCTCACAGTTCCAGGATACAGTCTCATTCTCCAGTTGTTAACTGGTGGTATTCAGCTGGCTGTCATTTTTGATGCATTTTCTATGCTTCTTTGAAAGTTTGGCTGCTGTGAATTGTTGCTGATAGCATTTACAGTCTGAGCCAGCTGCTGGTCTTTATAGCCTGAAACATAGTACTACATGATCCAATGTGTACAGAAACTGAATCATTTGTATATATCTGTCACCTCTACTGGTCCTGCAATTTTCATGTGGCTACATGCATTCCTTTGTGATGTTGCAATTTCATGTTTGAGGAATGTGTGTGTGTTTATATTTATATATTTCTGGAGGCAAAGATTGGATCAATCTGGATGACATAACTGTTAACCTGCTTAACTTCTAGTAGTAATGATTTCAAGTTCCTTTCCAAGTTAGCCTTTTCTTACAAGCATTTTTTACATTGTTAACTCTAATCATTAAATTTATTGTAAGGATGGCAGTATCACTTATCTGTAGAACAAAANCAATATATTTATTTTGTTTGTACAAAATAAAAAAATAATTTTTAACGATACAATAGTCTTCGTTAGGCTTAACATCGACAAAAATTCAACGCGAAGCAACATGCAATGGAGAAAAATTTCAACATGGGATAAATTAACATATTTATTCGTACATAATCGGTTATCCGAAATATCAATTTTCCGAATAACCCCAGTCCCCAATTGATTCAGATAATCAACGCTCTACTGTATTAACTCTAATCATTAAATTTATTGTAAGGATGGCAGTATTACTTATCTGTAGAACAAAATTTAATTATAGTATAAAAATGACCCATAAATTCTAGTATTTCATTTATTTGTATAATAGAAACTCAATTTAATGTTCTCTGATTTAACATATTTTTTCATTGGTCCTTTCAAATTTTCATAAACCACAATGTTAACATCTTCGGTATTCAACTAATTTAGTTCTTTCACTTTGCAAATTTTTGGGATTTAATGCATTGAAAAATTGATCCCTAGATGAATTTTCATCTCAAATACTAATTCTTGTAAATAAAGAAATGTACTGTATTTCATGTTTGGATGATATTGGTAAGGTGACTAACTTTTTTACAATGGAAAGGAGAACACAAATAAATTAAAGGAAAAAATATCGTAAAAAAAGAAACATTTTATTCATTGCAACAATAATACACTAAAATAATCTCTACTGCATGCGTATGTGCTGTGTCGTGTTTTGGTAAGAAGTAAACAAAGACACTTGTATGTGGCGTGCTTTCTCAAGGTCTTCCATGTATCTCATAACCGCATCATGCTACACTGTATGAGTCATCATGTCAAATGCAAACACGTCACATCACATCACACACAATGGATTGGCTCGGCATCAATTGAATACAGAGATTTACAGATTAGTCTTCAAATATCAAAAAGGAGGACATGTAGGTGGACAGAACTTGCAAAAGAAGGACTGTCCTCCCTAAAGGAGGTCAATTGGTCACCTTAATATTGACAAAAATGTGTTTTTTTTATTTCAAACTTAGAAACTGCTTTGATGAAGACATATCAAATTCTCAACAGGAAACAAACAAGTATCTTTGATTACTTTAAATAGCATTAACAGTTTATTATCTTCGTATAAAACATGTTTAGAGATACCAATTGTTGTACTTTGTATTTCATTGTATGAAATGAAGGTGTTCATGGAAGCATTTATACTGGAAATAAGTGTTTTTCTTTACTTTATCCATTTTGAATGCATATACATGTGTATTTGTATGTTCTGGTATGTTTTTTAACAATGTTTAGATTTTACATATTCTGCAATTTTAATGTATGTTTTCATTGATTCCTTGATAAACATTAAATTGTGTTTCTACTGTACTTTATTAAAGACAATGATTTACATTTGTTGTAAAAGTAAGTTATTCAAAAGCTATCAGAATTTGAATACTTTTTAGTTTTAAAAAATGTATTATCAGTTTTCATCAACATTAATAGTGAATCTGTTTACTCTATTCCATCAACAACTTTAATAATGAATCCATCATTAAAGTTGTTGATGGAATAGTATCTAGTTCAAAAATATTATAATATATTTGAACCAGGCTTTCAAAGAAATCATAATATTTATCTTTGATACTAAAGTAATTATTACATTAATAATTAATTACATTTTCTGATTTTATACTTATTTAAATTCACAGGCCCACCCTATATTCCATTTGCTCACATTCATGCACCATCCCTTGGATTTGAGGATTTGAGATTGACTATGCTTATTCCAAATAGGCCAATACGACTTAAAATTATAGATGCATTTAGAGTTCCTGGCTCATCTATTATGAATCCTAATTTGTGAGTATCTATCAAAATTTTAAAAATTTGAATTTAAAATTTATTAAAAAAAGAAAAATTTTTAAACACGAATTTAAAATTATATGGCGAATTATTTAACTTGCACGTATGACCGACTTTAAACGAATTTTAATACTGTTTGAATTTAAAATTTATTAGACATTTAAAAATTTTTAAACACGAATTTAAAATTATATGGCGAATTATTTAACTTGCACGTATGACCGACTTTAAACGAACTCTTCATATTAAGAAAACTTTAGAATAATCAGAGAAAATATAAAGAATAATTTAAATAAGAAAATATTCATAATTAACTGTGCACAGAATCTGCTATATTAACAATGTTGATAGAAAACAACTAAATACAGTTATACAGTATTCCTTCAGACAAAAAATAATATTCGTTGAACAATAAAGCATCTTTATCTCAATTGTTTCTATTTTCTGTGATGAGAAATTACATTATATAATATATATCACTGCTATCTAAGTTAAAGATGATCTAATCTGTTTTGATAAGAATACACTTAATATCAAAAATATTTATTATCTTTATATGATAATCTGCTTCTTTAAGAGTTATTAGATGTTCACTAGTTAATAAATAGGCTACAATTGGTATTGGCTCGAACAAATGAACTTTTTTAACGTTTATATTAACGCATATGCAACTAATAACCGTAAGTTATTAGTCTTAAATATTTTTATCAAATTAAAATTTTATTCAAAGAAATATTTCCACTTTGTCTTAAATTATTTTTAAATCGATTGTGAATTGAAACTTCAATTTTTCATGACGTTTTGAACATTATCCATATTAATCAATTTTTATGGTAAAGAGAAAATATTTTTCTTAAATATCCTCTCTATTTTTGAATATAAAAGCAATGTTGACATATTTTAATAACTAGCAGGTTCACGGAAAATCACGCTGCTAACCTATAAACAGTATATAATAAAGTCTGAATTGAATTCCTTTTATGTTTCAGTGTAGATTGTATTTTTTTTTCCATTACAGTTAAGTATTATAGTTAAATAATTATATACTTTCGGAATCTACAGGAATCAATATATGGAACCTTCATAAGTTAGGTAATGCTATTTTTATACTTTTCAACTTCCACTTTACCCTTTTTAACGTTCCATAATTTATGCGTTGCACACGGTCCCCGCAGCCAGGGATAAATCATTAGGGGATGAAAAGTAAGTTTAAAAAATTATAACTAGTATTTTTTTCAGCCAGCACTAGACCTATTACCTACAATTTAATATAAAAAAAAGTAATGAATTACGTGATGAAAGCGAAAGCGCATATTATATATATTGCACATGGGCACTGCTGACTAAGTTGGGGACAACCCTTCGGAAACAAAGATGAATCATTCAGTTATCCAAAGTCTGAGATCCTAGCATTACGTAACGTTTTGCAAACATTCTCATCCCCTATAAGGTATCGTAACGATTATTTATATACCAATCCCGAAGCCATGGAAAGCTCATATGAGGCCCAGGTGTAAAGCGAACCCTTTTGTCTCTTAGCTTAAATTATTCAACAAAAAAGTTTCCAAATTATTGGTTTATATATTTTATAAAGAAGTTTAATATTCATTTTGAAAAAAAAAACAAAAAATGGATTCCCGAACTCTATTAGGAAAATTTCCTGACTACATTGGAAATATGAATGGAAAAATTTTCTATCATTATAAATTACATAAAATCAAATGTCAATGTTAAATCTGTAAATTTCCTAATTTGGAGTTTTCAATCATTCCTACAGTCATATCTCGCCGGAACTGCTACTATAAGAATTTCGTTCGTCAAAATTCGAATTTATATTTTTTAGTTCTAAAATAACACAATTTTGTACAATTACGACGAATTGTATTTTTAATGTTTTACAATTTTTAACTGTTTACGATTATGTGTATATCTATTAATCGAATCGGCGTGGAATTAACACAACCCAAGTCCAATTTTCTCTGCCAAACAACTAAGATCGTGAGAGCTTTTGATTCCCGAATATCGCACTCAGACTGTTATAAACATTATTTGCCTATTTTTAATGATATTTATTATTATCTTTGCATTATTAAAATAACAGTACTTACATTTTACTTTTCCGGCTGTTATGTATATACATAATAGGAATGTATTGGAATTGTGTCAAATTTGACCCTCCGAGTTTTTGCAAATCTCTACGTTTTGAGATCCCTGAACCCCAAAAAAAGTAAAAAAAGCGGAAAAGTATTCCGTGTGTGTTTGTGTATGTTTCGTTTAGTATGTATAGATGGGATAAAGATTAAGAAACGAGATTTGACAAGGTAGGTTGGGTTAAGGAGCATTAATGCTGTTAAATTTTGATGATTAAAAACATTATTTAAAAGCTTGTTAAATTATTCATTGTAAATTATCACAAAATTTATTTAAATGTTAAAAAACTACATTTATTAACTTTAATATTTAAGTGACTGTACTGACTTTATAATCATTTTGTTATTTTACATTATCATCCTGTATTATGCTGATAACGAAAGGACAACGAAAAGGATTTCCTTGTGTCGCTAAGTCGAAAGAAATCTTTATTTAAACGGAACAGCATGCATTAACAAATGAAGATAATAGAATTCCGATAATTTTATTAAATTTAATGTATAAAGATAAAATAATCAAGCAAAATGAACTTATTAGATTATTAAATAAAAACGAGTTACTGAAAATACATTTAAACAATTAGAAAATGCAGNCCTGTATTATCATCAGATAAATGATTTAAAGATTGAATGCTTTGTTGTTCTCTCTTAATGAGATTATGGATAAATTTATTAGAAAAGATAGGAACCTTTACTAATATATTTATCCATAGTCACAAAATTTTTTTCAAATGTTAAATTTTATTATTTTATTTTTAATTTTTATTATTTTAATTTTATTATCTTTGTTGTATAACTTGATGTTCTTTAGTTATTGATAGGTTGTAAAGGTAAAATTTAAACATTTTGAAAAAAATCTTTATTGACAATGATTACAGTTAAGTCTTGTAGTCATCATTAATATCAATCATATCTTGCCATCTTTTATACAAACTTTCAATCTTGTGAGCATACAATGACTGGGGTTTTTCTTTGAAGAAATTCTCAAGTGTCATTCTCACATGGGTATTGTCATTGAATTGTTTATTAACACAACACTCAAAAGGGCTGATTGTGTAGACAACGTTTAGATGCCGGTGATGGTTTAGAGATTGTCTAGATTGCAGTTCAGAAAAATTTTATTGCAGAGATACTGTTTCTTGCTTGCTGCAGTTTAGATAGCATTTAGAAACCAGTAATTTGACCTACTTTGTAGACTCACTCGACACAAGTTTAGACAGCATTTTAATTCAAGTGAAAGTCATCATATTGTTTTGTTTGTTGCAAAGTTTAGATAAAAAAGGATATCATTCCTTTGATAAATGTAAATGGGATGAATCGACAAAATTATTCATTAATTAATTACTTGGATTGGAAAAAATATAATTAAATACTTTAAATTTGTTTTAAATGTTCTAATTTTGAATTCAAATGAGCAAAGACTTAAGACAATAATTAAAGCAGATGCTTTTATTTACAGTTTAAGTATCGTGTTGGTTATAAAATGTTAATGCATTTTTGGGTCATTATTGTTAATCTCCAGGTCAGAATGTTCTGTAAACAAACAAGACAATTTTAATAATTATCAAAACCTTTTATTGGAAATAAAAAAAATTAATAATAACAATAATATATTTAAAATTATTTATCTTGAGAATTACAAAGAGAGAGAATAATATGAGATCAGAATAATTCCTTAAAAAATCTATTCTGAAGATGAATTCCAAATTTGGCTTAAATTTTGTTCATATTTTAAATCCTATTGGCAACAAAATTAAACATCGAAATGGAAAAGGCCTGTCATTAACTGCCAAACTATGATTGTTGATGGCTTTAAGATTTTGTTATCAGAAGCTTTCAGAAGATAGCTAGTGACCTTATTGGAGTTTTTTCTGATGTCACAAATGAATAACTTGATTGGCTGAACAACAACTAAAAGAAGGGAGTAATGGAGAAGAAAGTAATAACCAGCATTTTGTTGAAGTTTGTTTAGACGGCATTCAGAAATAGACAATTATTGTCTTTGCAACACATTTTAAACAGCAGTTCAGTCAGCCAACACTAGATGCCATTCAGCTGTTAAACATTATTTAGCGTAAACTCTGTCTTTGCAATCAATTGAAGTTGTTGTGCTAATTTTCTGATGGTCAACCATGGATTATCATCTATCAATTGCAGGAGAACATTGTCATCAGTGGCGGAATCATTGCCTAGATGGGGTTCATCTTGAAGCAAGAAAGCTTCATCCTTGAATTTCTTGAACCAATTATAGCAGGTCTGTCTGTTGACTTTATCCTTGTCAAATGCCTTTCAGATAAGATTGCGAACCTTCATTGCATTGTGGCCACTTTTGACATGATAGAGCAACAGCACATGAATGTGTTCTTTTGAAAGTTTCATATTGTCAGACATTGTTGATGCATCTATTTCCAATGAAATATGTGATGAAACATCCCTGGTTACTCTATTTATAAACCCACATCAAATATTCTAGAACATTTTTTCCCACTCGTTTCTAGAAAAATTGAATTATCTAAATATTGCTTTTATAACCTGATATATTTGATTGTAAATGATTTTTTTTATGCATATAAATTATGAAAATTAGTTTTATATTATGATTACAGTAATGATGCTATGGTTAATATTTATTATAGATATGTTATTCATTTACAACATGGAAACTTCGAATGGATAATTAAAAAGCGCTATAAGCATTTTCAAAGACTGCATCAACAGTTACTTCTTTTTCGTGCCTCACTTTCTCTTCCAATTCCTACACGCAGGTCTGTTAAAATTTATCTTAATATTTTAAAATTTATACAAATACATTAAATTTTAGTAATTATTTTACTCACTTAACATTTTAATTATTAGTATTAAATATATTTCAGATATAGGGAAAGAAGGAAGAGTTTTAAGCACAGGAAAACACTTCCATTGTTTCCACGTCGACCTGAAGCTTTAATTCAACCAGATCAACTTTCTCATAGAGCAGTATGTTTAGTAGTTTAGTTTATTTTATTTCTACTAATCCAGTAAATGCTTTTAAAAAATAAAAATGAATATTCAGAATCGTTTTTGAAAATGCATTTTTATTAATGCAAGTTTTCACATGACTCAAATAGAATCATGTAAAAGCAATTATTTTTTATATGAAAAATAAGTTAATTTTTGTGATTGTATCAAATAGAAAAGTTTATTTGAAAATTCAATAAACTTTAGTAATGTATTGCATCTAAATTATAAAGAAAATTTTATTTAGATTAATTTGCTCAGTTATCCTCCTTTTAAGCGATCTATTGGTTGAGCCAACGTATGTTAGCTTCTTGCACGGGTTAGATCTGCCGTCCTCCAATGGGACGGTGTAGACTCCTGGTCTCCTGGCTTCGCTGCATTTGTCCTTGGTGTTAGCTAGAAGTTTATAAATCGTAGGGTTGCGTCTGTATGCGAGAGTAGCGTTGACCTTTTTTGCTATGAAGTTATAGGCCTGGCTCATTCTAGGGTCAAAATCGACGGTAATGCGCTTACCTTGTTGCTTTAGAGGTTTAGAAGTGGCATCTCCGGTTGTTAAGCATCTATGAGTTTTTTGCGCAAGCCTATCGATAAACTTACTGCTGAAACCGTGGGCTGTGGCGATGCGCTTGATGCGTTGGATTTCTCGTAGCGCGTCGTTAATGCTAGAGCAATGGGTAAAAGCTCTGCGGATAAGAGCCCTGAAAGCGGACATTTTGTAAGTAAAGGGGTCATTCGAGGTTGCAGGGATAAAGAAAGATTGAAGATTAGGCTTATGGAACACACTAGTAGCTATGCAGCCATGATCCAAGAGGATATTGAGGTCCAGGAAGTGGGCCATCCTGTCATCCTGCTGGTCTAATTTAAGCTTAAGTCCAAAAGGGTTGTTGTTCACAATCTGAAGAACGGTGTTCAGATCCGGCTTGGACTTCCAAATGATAAGAATGTCATCAACATAGCGCGTATAGAGAACGATTTCCGCGTTGAAGGACTGTAATACTTGGTTATCCAGTTTTCTTACAATTAATTCGCAGAGGTCTCCAGAGAGGGGGCTACCCATAGGTACTCCCCTTTCTTGAAGATAGATTCGTTGGTTGAAGGTGAAGAATGAGGTGTAGCACATAAGGTGGGCCAGCTCCAACACCTGCTTGTGGTATCCAGGTGGAGAGGCTTGGAAAAGGAAATCTCTAAGGGCACAGAAGCACGGTTCCAATTTAATGGAAGGATACATAGCTTCAAAGTCTAGAACTGTAATAAATTCCTGATCCTTCAGAGCGATATTCTGCAATTTAGTGATGAGTTCCCGCGTGTTCGAAACGGCGTAGTTATAATCTTTCAAATGGCCTTTAAGGAGCTCATGTAGACCCTTCTCAATAGGTAGGGTTGGAGATCTTGATTTGTCAACAATCGGCCGGATTTGCGTGCCTGGTTTATGGGTTTTAGCATAGCCGAATAGC